TTTCGCCGAAATTTTGACATTTTCGAAACCTAACTGATTCTTTGATAACTGCAACCGTTTTTCCGGAATCGTCCTTTGAAATATCGAAATTTTTGGAAAATCTCAAAAATTCGCATTTGGTATCGATTCTTTCCAAAATGTTGCTCCGTGACAATCGACACCCAATATTTTTACTTCCCGAGCGTAAGCAAAGGAAGTATTGTAATCGAGTCCGTCGGCCGACTCTCTACTTTTTCGTTTTCTCGATCTTTCATGACTCCTAGAATACGAGGAAATAGGTCTCCCATTTCCGGCTGTCTGTCTGTCCGTCTGTCCGTCCGTCTGTCCGTCTGTCCGTCAGTCCGTCCCGGATTTTTCTTAGTCAGATAATCTCCGAAAGTACTGGACCGATTGTTGTGAAATTTTGAACTTATATTAGGAATGTCATGTAGATGGTAAAACGCTAACCAAAATTTGTCTAATCATCCCCACCGCTAATGCGATGACGTCACTTCAAAATTGTACATAGTAAATGGGTCTTAAATTGTATAAAATAACATAGTCCTACACATGTAGTTTACGACTCCGAGTTCAGTTTTTACCTGAAACGTCCAGAGTTTTTGAAAAAAAAAATCAAAATTATAAAACAACATTTTGCAATTTAATTTTGAATCTGCTAACCCGAATATTTTGAAATGTTGCAGATGTTTGAAGGCTCTAAAGAGCATCAAAAATCTTTAGTCAAAATATATTTGGTTATCCCCTCCAAAAACTTGATGACGTCAACTCAAAAGTTTGCCGAATAAATCCTAACTAAAATGTACAAAATATGATGCGTCTGTACTTGTGATATATCACTCCATTCAACTGTCTCAAAAAAATTAATGAATGCATCAATTTATTTTATTGATTTAATCAGGAATTACAGAACCGAATGCTGTGAAATCTTGGAGATATTTTAAAGTTATCATAAGCATGGTAAATTTTTTATCAAAATTTATTTGCTCATCCCCCCCCTAAAAAAATTGATGACGTCACCCTAAAATTTGGTAAATAAATCCTATCTAAAATGTGAAAAATATGATGAGTCTGTACTTGTGATTTATCATTCCATTCATATTTTTTCGATTTGCATATACAGGGTGACTGAAAATAATTAATGAATGCGTCAATTTATTTTATTGATTTAATCAGGAATTACAGAACTGAACGCTTTAAAATCTTGGAGATGTTTTAAAGTTATCATAAGCATGGTAATTTTTTTATCAAAATGTATTTGCTCTTCCCCTCTAAAAAATTGATGACGTCACTCCAAAATTTTGCCGAATAAATCGTATGTAAAATGTACAAAATATGATGAGTCTGTACTTGTGATTTATCATTCCAATCATATTTTTTGGATTTGCATATACAGGGTGATTCAAGAAAATAAATGAAAGCGTAAATTTATTTTACTGATTTACTCAGGAACTACAAAACCGAATGCTTCGAAATCTTGAAGATATTTTAAAATTATCATAAGCATGGTAAATTTTTGATCAAAATGTATTTGGTCGTCCCCCCTAAAAAATTTATGACGTCACCACAAAATTTTGCTGAATAAATCCTATCTAAAATGTACAAAATATGGTGAGTCTCTTCTTGTGATTTATCATTCCATTCAAATTTTTTCGATTTGCATATACAGGGTGACTCAAAAAAATTAATGAATGCGTAAATTTATTTTATTGATTTAATCAAGAACTACAAAACCGAATGCTTTGAAATCTTGCAGATGTTTTAAGGTTATAAAGAGCATAATAAATTTTTAGTCAAAATATATTTGGTTATCTTCTACAAAAAACTGATGACGTCAGCTCAAAAGTTTGCCGAATAAATCGTATCTAAAATGTACAAAATATGATGAGTCTGTACTTGTGATTTATCATTCCATTCATATTTTTGGATTTGCATATGCAGGGTGACTCAAAAAAATTAATGAAGGCGTGAATTTATTTTATCAATTTAATCAGGAATTACAAAACCGAATGCTTTGAAATCTTGGGAATATTTTAAAGTTATTATAAGCATGGTAAACTTTTGTTCAAAATGTATTTGTTCATCCCTCCTAAAAAAATTGATGACGTCACCCTTAAATTTTGCTGAATAAATCCTATCCAAAATGCAAAAAATATGATGAGTTTGTACTTGTGATTTATCATTCCATTCATATTTTTTAGATTTTCTTAAGAGGTGGTTCAAATAAATTAATGAAGTCAATTTATTTTATTGATTAAATTAAAGGCAACACTTATTATTAGTATTACACCCCAACCAACCCAATTTGGTAGACACAAAATTTGTTAAAGGAAAAACTCGGTTGAAACATAAGGGTAGCACGCTTATTTACATCGACTTTAACATTACAGACCTGCAATTTGTTTTATGCGGTCACTTGGTTCCGCGAATGTGAAATAGACATGTTTATAATCAACCAATTGTGAATTTCACCGTCAAGAATTAAAATAAAACCCAATGTTTTATATAATATGCGGAAGTCGAAGCAATAAAACCGATGGTCGTTTTGTTTACAGTTTCTCTGTTTGACTCTCACGTATGCTGTTACACTTGTCATCTTAAATTAAGAATGTTTATACATAAACGATTTTCAGTTGCCTTTCATATTACTAGACAGCGGATTTTTGTCGGGCTACGTCACGATTATAGGTGGTGACGCGCTGGATCGCCGGGACTCAGTAGCGGGTGATAGATAATCAGTGAATTTAATCAGTACTAATTCCATAAATATAATTAACGATTTATTAATCAAACGGCTAAGTAAATGAGAACGGGAATTAACAGCAGAGTGCAACGAAACAGCGTTATTCTAATCTCAAATAAACGAAGTGCAGTCCGCAACCGCAATAAATTCGCATCCCGTACGAGCCGTACCGAGTTTGGCCTTGCCTAGCCCGACAGAAATCCGCTCTCTAGATATTACACACCGGCGCCGTATACGTGAGTAAATTGTTTCGTTATTTTATTGATTATAAGAAATCAATATTCAAAACGACCCAATTCATTTTCCCGAAAATTTGGGAATACAATAATTTTATTCTTAGTATTACACTACATCTATCCCAACTGATATACGTGTCCTTGCAAAAATGTTGATGACGTCATCACAATTTTTTTTTAAATTCCCACTACAAAAATGTAATGAGAAAAAAAACACAATAATCATGCAGTCGTCAAGTTTCCGACAGCGAGGGAAGTACTGTCTAAACTCTTTAGACCAATTTTTTTATTCTTAGTATTACACTACATATATCCCAACTGATATACGTGTCCTTGCAAAAATGTTGATGACGTCATCGCATTTTTTTTTTAAATTCCCACTACAAAAATGTAATGGGAAAAAAATACAATAGGCATGCAGTCGTCCAGTTTCCGACAGCGAGGGAAGTACTGTCTAAACTCTTTAGACCAATTTTTTTAATACCTATTTTTCTGAATACATTTCGACGTTTTTACTACGCTTATTTTTGATGTTTTCTCTTGATGGTATATTAATTGAATGTACTTGCACCCCACACTTTAGATGAGCTTCAGAATATGTTTTTAAAGGAATGAGAGAATATCCAACAAGAAGATATAAACAATTTATTTCATGGGATGCCCTGCTCCGTTTTCGACCGCGTTGCGTGTCATTTAACGCTGAATTTCCTCAGGATTACGATCTCGTATTCGCTTTTGACGTATCTCTTCAAATAAGCGAGAAAAATGCAAATTTGTGTGCCCCCCTTTTTTTTTAATTTTTCAAAATTGGTCCGTTTTCAACCGTGTTGTGTGTCATTTCACGCGGAATTTCCTCAGGATTACAATTCCGTATTCGCTTTTGGCGTTTTTTTTTTTCCAGTTCAAGAACTCACTTCCGGCCTCGTTTCTTTCATAACTACAACCTTTTTCCCAGAATCGACTCTTGAAATATCGAAATTTGTAGAAATTTTCAAAAATTCGCATTTCGTAGCGATTCTTTCAAAAATGTTGCTCCGTTGCCATCAACACGCTATATTCTTGGAATCACCATGTCGAGAGCTACGTCCCTGAATTTTTTCAGGATTTTTAGACAACTTTTGTTAAAGTGACATTTTTCCCATGGTCCCCCCTTCTTCAAATTTTGACCAAATTTTGACACTTTCGAAACTTATCTGAATACATTTTCTTGTATATTTCAAGCTGTAGAACTGTTCAGATTTTTATTAAGCAGATAATCTCCAAAACTACTAGACCGATTTTATTTTATGTTATGTTAAGAATATCGTGTATAGTCCATTTCAGAACTCCGTTGGCTTAAGCCATAAACTGTCCCAAAGACTGACAAATTCCAGGGTTTCCCGACCGTCGGTCGGTTGAGAGACGGTAATTCTCATAAGTCACTGCCATGATGGAGCAAACGATTCATTTTGTTTTATTAATTGTAAAGACTTAATAAGAAATAGGTTACCTTTAAAAAAAATGTTATTTCAGTTTCTCTTGTACATGTAATTGCAATGCTTCGACATTTTTAATGTCACTGCTTTAAGCAATGATTAAATCGTTATATCATACAACCATGCTGAAAGTGCACTATAGTTTTCTTGCTTAAGTCGTTTGTCCTTTACTGAAAAACGAGCACTCAAGGACACCTTAGATTCAACGTTTACTTGCGAAAAGAAGGGGAGAGCTTGTTCTTTAACAAAAGAATCGTGGTAAAAGCCTACTTAGTGGGTGATAATTGTTGATTTACAATCACCCCGGTTTATGGCTTAGGCGAACTTATTTCTGAAATCGACTATAGATGGTAAAGCTCTAACCAAAATTTGCCCAATCTCCCTATCAATGTCATGACACTTCAAAAATGTTTATTATAAATTTTATAAAATAGCACAGTCTTGTGTTTGTATTATTGAATACAAATTCGCAAAATCTAATTTTTTAATTTTTCAAAGAAGCGGGATTTGTGGCACTGCACTTTGGGGGCGAGAGAAGTCCTGTCGAAATAATTTTTCACCAATTTTTTTAATAATGTTATCCGACAGCAAACAACTTTTTGTAAATGAGTTTTACAGCCCTTACATTAACAGTGTTAAAAGATTACACTAGACCACCCGTCTCCAAATCACCATCCGCCGTTTCAACTGTTTCTACTTTTCTTTTATCAAAATTCCAACTTTGAGTTTCGGTTGTACCAAAAAGAAGAAATATTAACAGACCTAGTAAATTTGCTCCAATAAGAAGCCCAAATACACATCTCCACTGTTCTAAGGTGTGATTGTCTTCAGTAATTAGACCAATCACCACAGTTTCTACATAACTCAACAGCGAGCCGAAAGTGTACATCAATCCAGAAACGGTACCACCATAAGCTGGTGCAACGTCGATAGTATTGGCACTTATAGAAGGAGTCGAACAACCGTGACATGTAAACCAAACAACAAAAACGATAACTGCCACGGTAGAACAATCGCCCCAAAAACATAAGATTCCAAACACTAACACCGACCCACCTAGGCACACCACCATGAAGAATCTTCGTATGGTTAGAGTCGGATATGTTTTGGTTTTGAACCACTTGTCAGCTATGTAACAACAACCTACAGCCGATCCGTATGAAGCTGAAATTTACCGAATGTGATCAATTCGGACTTCAAATGACAGTTCTTACCAAGATACGGTAGACTACCTAAAAGTCCGTTCTCCTGGATGTTAAAATGAAGAACTGTATCCATAAAATATGGTAAATAATTGTATGCCATGTTCACTGTCATTAAATAACTACCACAAACAATAACAAGTACATGAACGGGTACGGATGTCAAAATTTTCGACCAGGGTATAGTCTTTCTGGTAAAATTTGTACACAATTTGGCGTTTATGACATTTTTTTCTTCTTCGCTGATTCTCGGGTGTTGTTCAGGTGAATTGTACACAAGTAAAAACCAAAAATATGTCCATATTAGAGCTATTCCTCCTGTTACGTAAAAGACACTCCTCCATCCCCAGTTAGCAATCAAGAACCCACACGCAGGCAGAGTTAAAGCTCCACCTAGATATACTGCTCTCGTATGTGAAAGAAACTTTGATATTCCAGTGGGTCCAGTCCATCGAATAGCTAATGGAGGAATCGCTGGATTAATCGCACCCAATGCTAATCCCAGTCCTACTCTAGTCAACAGTAACAGATAATAACTGAAGTGGGCAACCAAAGGGATTATGATCGTTAAAATGCCGGCTAAAAACATAGCGCTTCCCAAAACTAATCGCGTTCCATAGATTTCCGACAGACGTCCAGCTGGTAGTGCCATCAATAACTGCCCCCAAAAGTATGCACCTATGATATGTCCCTTTTCCTTTTCAGTCCAGAAAAAACGTTCGGAGTTTGACAGGCTTTCGTTTGTGTCACCGGACTTGCCCATGTCCACGATGGCGATTGATATATTAATGCGCAACATCTGGTGAAGGATAAAACATGTGATTACCATTGTAGTCAGGATTCGCCTGCATGATAAAATTTCTGAAATTAGATGTTGTTTAATTAGTAATAAGAGAAAAAAGTTTATGGAGTAATAAGATACTACCGTTCGTTTTAGACATAGTGAACGAACAGTTTTTAAAGGAAACTTCGTAGAGATAGTGAATTTGTGTACATTGGAGGTCATTTTTTACGAGTACTTTGCGATAAGAATTATTGCAGTTAAGGTTACCATTCACAGCCTATTTATTCATTTTTTACTGTTTTAAATTGACTTAATTAGCAAAGTAAAAAACTTTAAAGAGTTAAAATTATTTTATTTGTAGACACTACTACACGCATTTCCGTACACAACACCGTCTTCAGGCAGAAACTGCTTTTACAAAACATAATTCTCATTTATATATCCGAAACTAACAAAAGAACTTACAACTTTGATAAGTTTAACAAAAAAAAGAAAAAATCAGAAATTAAAAATTGAAAAACAGAAAAATTCATAATTGAAAACTCGAAGAAACCAAAAAAATAAACAAATGAAATGTTTCTTACGCTACTGGTTTTTACTTTATAAAGGCTATCAAAAAACAAAAATAACACAATTTTTTTATAATTTTTCAAAAAAGTGGGATTTGTTGGGTTGTACTTCAAGGACTAGAGAAGTTCTATCGAAATATATAGGTGTTAGCCATTGATCCGTTATACAAACATATAATAAGTAAAGGATAATTTTTCCAACAGTTGTTTAAATGTTCTTGCCTTTCTGTGAAAAATCCTTACATGAGAGAGAAAAACGGAATTCATATTTCGATTCAATGCTCAAAAATACATAAGAATCAGCTATCAAATTGAAAACAATTTTTCGAAAGATAATGCAGGTCTGTGTAATTATAATTTAATTGTTACAAGGAATTTACAAAATTTGATGAAAACTCACGAGTCAGATTGAGTTTTCCGAAACTATGACCGCAGTACACAGTCGCATGTCAAAAATCTAGGAACCAACAGCTCCCAAAGCGTGGGATGCACCAAAGGTACCTTCGTCTTAGCATAATATTCAAAAATACATAAAACAGTCATACAAGAAATTAAAATACTACCAGAACACCAAATGACAACATTGGAAACAAGACTCTCAGGAAGTTTGAAATAAAACGAAGGTAAGACTGTACCGATAATGACCAAAAACATCAAGGGAAAAAACCTATCCATCCAACAAAACATTATCCACTCGTGCACAAAGAACGAAATCAGTAATACCACTAACCTGGCCAAGAAAGTACTGTCGCAAACATAAATTTTAAAATCACGATAAATATAATAGTACAACCAATCCTGGACGAGCATGTTCCACTTGGTTAACCAAATATTAAAGTTGGATGCATTCCACCAATCCATATAAAACAACCTATCTCCAAAACGTGTTATCTCGGCAAAAAAATTCTGGAAAGAATGAAAAACGAGAAGGAAAGCCCCCATCAGGATTAATGCTCCATATGGCATAGTTTGCACGATCAGCAGTATCGTTTCAGAAATGGTAAATTTTTGTAGCCACCTTTCTGGCGTAGGATAGACAGCATCTAAAATGAAAGTAAACATCAATAATACGCTTAGACATTCAAGAAAACGTTGAAAAGCAAAAATCCAGTTAATGTTTTTCGTGAGGGGATAGTGATCTCGGTATATCAGAGTCGGTGCAAAGAGGAAATAAAAAAAGTTAAAGAAATTTTGGTAATTTAAAGGTGATGATCCGGTGGCGTAGATTACTTGTGGAGCACTGTTTCGGACGAAAGAATGCACTTTCATTAAAATTCTTACCTAAAAAGTTTATGTTTTTTTAACGTTTTTGGAAAAAGAGTCACTTACCGATTCAATGCTCACAAATACCGCACAGGGTGGGTTAAACTCAAAATGAGTTATTGTGTTGGTTATCATTTTGAAACTGTAGAAATAGTATGTAATTAAAGACGATACCCAAAACCAGTCCCATATCGTCGTTACTCCTAAAACAGATTTACTTTATTGCACGATTCCTTCGAAGCAAGAACATATACATATATTTCGTGGATTAATATCAATTTCAAACGATAATATCTGTGTTACTTCTATGTCTTTAGTAATGCATTAACAACCAAGATGATTCAACAAGTAATTAGTCTTTAATAACTATGAATCTTTAAGTAATTTTTACACTTATTACACATGTAGAAATTCAGGTGGACATTTTGAGTTAAAAAAAAAATATGTTTTCGAAAAAACTCACTTTTATCAAAACTTCGAAATTCCGACCAAACTTTAAACAAAAAGAAAGATGTGCACGCCGCCCCCAGACAGAAAAACCAAATTAATAAAGCTCTATCAAATTTTGCGAATCCTATTTTTATTGTTTCTAATCCGAAATCGACGCTACAACAATCTTTATTACTTTCTCTTGTTTTAATTAATACAGTTTTTACCTTCCTTGCTGGACGTATTGTTTTACTGCCGTTTGAATCACAATCCCCGTAAAGACAATGACATACACATTATAAATATTGCGCGTTTTATCATCTTCGAATATATCTGTTAACACTGAATTTCGAGAAACAATTTTTTTTTCTAAGCTAAAAGTAAACGATAAATAAGTCACATTTCTGTAGAGAATACCGAGCTACTTCTTATCAGTCGATTGCATTACTACACTTTACTGGTCACTGAATATTAATGTAATGCCAACTGACAATCAATTTCTTCTCGAAACAATAACTATCCAAAAGTTACAAAGTCTGCAATGAATTATAATTTTTTACCTATGACGCTAATAACAGGTTTTTTCACGATTCTACGTCTCATCCATTATATGATTTACGTAAGCTTTGTTATTTAGCTAATACTTATTGCAATTTCATCATAAATAATAATTAGAAGTAATTAGGAACGAAAAAACTCTAAAATTGTCAAAAACACATGTCCTCACTTGGTACGTAGAGGTTACTTCGAATGAATTTGGCCATAATCTTCTGATAAGGAACTTTTTCCTACCTTCGATCTAACAGAAAATGACATTGACTTTATGAATTAGTTATTATCATTAGATGAAATGGAATAATTACTAAAACATTTTGTTCTACGAAAACAGTATATTTTACACTATTATGAAACTTATTAAATAAATAATGTTGTTACATAAAAGCTGTTGGTCTTGTTAAGTATAAATACAGCAAGTATCAAAAAAAGAACACGAACAACCATATCCTAGCCAGCCAACAAAAACTTTTACATTCACTTTTGTTCTAAAACAGTCATTACCTTTTATCACTAAACGACATGATCGTTTTTAGCAAACGGGAAAAATATCATCCATACAAAATTCATATATCACAACAATTTAGTGAGAATGACTTTGACCGCAGAATCGAATTTTGCGAAATAATGGCAGACAGACTAGATCAGGATGGCAATCTCATAAACCAATTATTATTTTCTGAAGAGTCTACTTTTCGTTTGAATGGGCATTTTAATCGCCGTAACTGCAGATACTGGTCCAATACAAATCCACAATGGATGGACAAGGTGCCCCAAAAAATTAATGTAAAATATAGGCCCCTTCTTCATTAAACGAAACTTAACGTCCGACAGAGATACCTCTCACTTTTGCAACAAAGTATATATTATTCCTCGACTTACTTGTACATTTTGTACGTTACCGACGATGATTATGCTACCGATGAGATAAATTAAGTAAAGAAAAATGCCGTTGTCCTAAAACCTAATCGTTAACTTCTTGTCCATCCGCAATCGGAGACGTTGCTTTGTCAATCTCTGCAACTTCTTCTTCACGCTCCCCCTCCTCCTCCCCATCTGCGAGTTCTTCGTATTCTCCTTCCTGGTCGCCGGCCTTGTCTTCAGTCGAGCTTTGCTCCACCGACGGTTTTTCATTTTCTGCGGCAGGTTCCGTTGACGCTTCTTTATCAATTTGCAAAATTTGCTCTTCGTGTGCTTCAACCACAGCAACGAATTTACTCTTGACTTTCTTTTTTGGCTTCTTTTTGATTTCTAAAATAATGTCTTCTGGTATGTCATAGGTAACGGGGAAGAACACCTTGGCGTCTTCGGCACCTTGAACAGTATCTGGGCTCATGTAGGAAGGTCCTAACTCGCAAAATTCTGTCAGCCAGTCATCGGATTTTGCCAGCTGGACCACGATCTTCTCGTCGCTGAAACGAGACCATTAGTAAAGGATTGAAGTAGAACTAAACGAATTACTAAGTAGGAGGCGTTAATCTTTTTTCAAACTTTTCAACCGTTTTCGTTATGAGCTGTCCTTCGCCTGGAATGTCGACAGTGAAGAAACCGTACTTCATCACAGCTTCGGAAAACTGCTTCGATAATTCCATCACTTCTTTGTACTTGAAAGCATCATAACCTACGATGTAGTGAGGAGGAATAAGTTTTTCTTCTGGAAGCCTGAATGGTCCAGAAATGTTAGGGAAAAACCATTTTAGAGCCATGGCTTTACATAGAGCGTTAGGAGGTATCCAAATTCCGGGCATCTCGACGTTTTCTTTCTTCAGAAGTAGTTTCTGATAGGCACAGTTTTCATCTCCTGGAGGTTTCCGATGATTACCATAAACGAGTTGATCCACTACATCGTCAATTGTGTTGGGCAAATTTTCAGAACTGCGTTTCAACAAAAGCGCAATCGAAGGTTTCTTGAAAAATTCGTCTCTTCTGAAGTCTTCCACCGAATCGTCCGAAAAATAAAGGATCTCTTCCAGGACCAAATCGCTAATGTGCACCTGCTGCATAAAAAAAAGAACATGTAAAAATAGTACATCCATTACTACTACGACTAAATCAAATCATTTATTCAACATAAAAGAAAATTTAGCATATCATACAAGTGCGCGATACTGTTTTAAGCGGGGTTTTCTTCTTGAGGTGGTTCGGCAGCCTCTGGCTGAGCTTCAGTCGGCTGCTCAGGAGAAGTTTCTGACTCTGCCGCTGCCTCCGCTATCGCTTCTACAGGCGGCTCAACAACCGATTCTCCTGATGTTTTTTGACCGACCATTACTGAAGCATTCGAATCCTTAGGTTTAGCCTCGGCCGAATCCACTTTTACTGAAGCAACCGATCCCTTAGGTGGAACCTCTGGCGAATCAGGCTTCACTGAAATTATCGAATCTTTCGGTGGAATTTGTGCTTCCTCTGGCGATATTTCTGTGGGCTGAGCTTCGACACCTTCCGGTTGTTGAGTTTCGGTGCCTTCTTCACCTTCTTCTGCTTCCAGACCCTCAACAACTGGGGTTTCTTCTGCCCCTTCCATATCTTCAGGTAGTACTTCTTCGGTTACAGCACCTTCCTCACCTGGAGAAAGTGCTTCTTTTTCTTCAGATGCATCTGCCCCACCTTTATCGTCTGCTTCTTCTTTGCGACGCTTCTTTCCTTTTTTGGTCGGTGGAGGCTCTTCTTCTTCTTCTTCTTCTTCTTCTGGTGGTTCGTCGTAGTCCTCAGGGAAAAAGTACTCACATTCTCTCTTTCCTTCAGCTACGTTCGGACTGATGTAGGTGGGTTTGACTTGGGCGAAAGCTAGGACGCACTCGCTCTTTTTCTTTGCCAGTTCGATAACCAGTCTTTGCGTACTATCGAAATAATTAATTGAAGATTGTGAAATCGGGATGAACGTATAGACTGTGGAAAGCGCAGAAAGGAATTGAGTTTAAGATAAAAAGACTAGTAATATCACGAAACAAACAAGTCTCGTTCAGTTAACGTGTCACGTGTCGGTTCCAAAAAAAAAAACAGTTAACATAGCAGATAGTATAAGTAAAAACACGTCGATCGAAATAAAGTTGTTGTTAAATAATAGGAGTAAGTTATGTTTCAAAAACGAATCATGTTTTGTCTAAAATGTCTAACTTACGGTGTTTTATTCTTAACTTTTTCGTATTTTTTCGTCGACTTGGCCACCAGCTGGGCCTCTTCTGGCGTTTCACTAGTAAAGTAACCATACCGTAAAACAAACTCTTTATATTTTTCCATGAGTTCCGCAATTTCAGTTCTCCGTCCTGCTTCAAATGCCACAGCATAATGAGGAGGAGTAGGTTCTGGTTCTGGTATGAGATGATGTTCGGCCATTCTGTGAAAGAACAGGCGCAAAGCTGTGGCCTTTATTAAATGATTTTCAGGAATCCAAACTCCAACCCCTTCAGGAGGATGTGCAATGGTTTCTTGATGTTTATTAGCTGCGGTGGAACTGTGTTGACGTTTGGCAACACTTTCGCTCTTCACGACACTTTCAGTTTTTGTAATGTGTTTCATCGCACTCTGCTGTTTCGTTGGAGTTGCGTGATGGACTGCCTCATCATGGCTACCATGCTTCTCTGTCTCTAATTCTGCTTCCGACCGTTGAGGAGATTTTGGAGGCATCTTGGCCAGAATTCTCGCCGGACTGTCTGGACTTCCAGGTGCTTTTCCCATCAGACCGTACACAATATGCATCACAGACTCATCCGTCGATATTTCGTCTCCTCTCGTACTTAACGGTTTGATCAGACAGACGAGACTCGTGTCGTTTAGCAGCTCCTCGACGGACTCTTCAGAAAACGGAATCTCCCCAAAGTAGAAAAGCTCCTTCAGCAGCTCCTCCGTCATATTGACCTTGTTTCACGACTTAGGATATATCAGAACTCACCATCGGAACTTACCTTGTCTGTCGAACTTATCACCAACCCAGCTTCGCCGAAGAGGTCGCCAAAAGCTTCCTGATAAATAGTTCTGGCGTGTGGGAAAATCAACATCGGACAGAGATGGTTCAAACTTTCTAGGATGTTATGGGCCTCAGCCGTCCTTCTTTCGTACAGTTCTTTCGCGGCTTTCGCTTCTTCTTTCTCTCTAGCTTGCCGCGTTAACGCATCCAGTTCCTCAAGTCGCTCTTTCTCTTCATCAGCTAATTCGTTTATTTCGTACAAGACGCGATCGCGCCGACCTTCTCTAGCGTCCATTTCCTTTTTTAATTCATCGGTTATTAAACGAGTTAGCTTGGGAGCGTTTGCTCCGAACATGAAGTTTACCATTTTGCCGCGCTGAAATCGACCGTCATCTCAAAAGTCGAGCTGAAACAGATACCTGTCTTACCACTATGAACATCCACGTGGGTTCGCTTTTATTTCTGAAACGTTCCAGGGCATCGATCTTGTCGGCTTTTGCCTATGAAAAAAAAAATATTTTCGAACTTGGTACACCATGATTCTTACTATCGCTAGCTGCAATACGTCTCCTCCAATTTCAAGTTTCAGCTTTTTCAATGTGGCTGTCATTCCTGAACACGGACCGCACCACTCAGAATAAACGTCGACGACTTAAATTAAGGATATAAACTGTTTCGTTGTTTTGGCGTGATTTAATAATTACCGATCAGACCCTCCCGTAGTAACAATTTTTCCCATTCTTCGTCATTATTTACTTCCGTTTGCAGTTGAATAGCTTGACCTTTTTTTGCCATGTTGTGTCAAAACTTGTGACAAGCGGGTTGTTAAGGGTTATTGATCAAATAAAATTTTATTACAAGCAATCGATTCCTTCTATTAGATAAAATAAAATACAAACTGAACAAAAGACTTAAAATTAACATTGGAAACAATAATAACTCACAGACTGTAACGGAGATGTGTGACATTTTCTACCACACAGTTTCAAGGAAATATGAAATTTGTTCTTGTAAGTAAATATTTTCTTAAGACAAAGAGCGTATTATGCAATTCCATAGCTTCTCAATGTTTCAGTTTCTAGAATTTCCAATTTTTGCAGCTTTAATTTTTTCAATTTTTCAATTCCTCGACTTCCAAATTTTTACAATTTCATTTCCCTAATTTTTCAATTTTGCAATTTTTTGATATCACAATTTTTCATTTTTCGGTTTTTCATTTTCTCAATTTTTCGAGTTCTTGATATTTCGATTTTACAAAATTACGTTTTTTCGATATTGCAGTTTTTCGATTAATAAATTTCTCAGTTTTTAATATTTCGTTTTTCCATTTTTTTTAATTCGAATACAAAATCGAAAAATTTGCAAAACAGAGAAAATAAAAAACCGAAATGAAAAATTGCAAATCGAAAAATTGAAAAATTAAAAATTGAAAACTCGAGAACACCACTGGTTTTTACTTTATAGAAGTTATCAGAAAACAAAAATCGCAACATTTTTTTATAACCTTTCAAAGAAGCGGGATTTATTGAGCTGCATTTCAGGGGCGCGGGAAGTTCCGTCGAAATAACCTTCGACCAATTTTGTTTGTAGATTGTCCCAGTAATGGCAGGCTGTTTCCTACCATTATAACAAAACAAGTTTTATATCTAAATTACCTGAAAATGACTTCTAGTCTTTAAATGAATAAACACAAAAATATTTTCTGAATCAGTCTTTATAATGCGTTTGAAGTGGTTATCTCTATTAGCTGTAGTTATTTTGACTACAAGTAGTGCAAAATCCAGTGAAATAACCTTCAGAAATGTTACTTTAATTAACTCGGCGGGAGAAGAAATCGTCAGATTATCGTCTTCAAGCACTCTAAAAGAAAATTTACCTGATGAGAGATTGGATATTGTCGTTATAAATGGAAATATACCAATTCTGTTCGAAGATTCTATAGCAAACATTAGTACCATTAAACAACTTCGTTTTCTTGAAAATGGAATCGAGGAAATACGATCAGGAGCTTTTAAAAACCTCACAGGAGTCCAGAGCTTAGACATATCGTATAGTATTTTGGTAACATTAAAAAACAACACTTTCCATAATCTAACCGTGGAAGAATTGTCGGTGGAACACAGTGGAATCACTAAAATTGAATTAGGTGCATTTAAATATTTACCAAAACTACACACACTGAGTTTGTTATTTAACAACTTACAAACACTTGAAGAGGAAATTTTTAACAATTTAAGCAATCTGCAAAATTTAGAACTGTCCTTCAACTTCATCAGACATTTTCCAGAGAATATTTTCAAAAAAATACCAAAGTTAAAAAGTGTTTTTATAAGAAACAACAAGATCGAGCAATTATCACAAAATGCCTTCCGAAGTAATACCCTTTCATATTTGGATCTATCTGGAAACAGAATTGCGACAATTACTGAAGGTGCCTTTAATGATTTACCACGACTATCTTCACTGATTCTGTCTTTCAATCATCTAACAAAAATTACCGAAGGTGTATTTCAGTGGCGGCTGGTGGGTCAAAATTTCGGGTCGGCCAAATATTTTGAGTCTAGACCTTGGTGTTATATATTTTCGTAATGTATGGCTGCTACTCATTAACCACTGACATTTTACGTGCCAGGATGTACAAAACATCTCAAATGTTTCGACCTGTTAAAATAATTTTTTATAGGAAATTGACAATGTCAGTTTGATTCCAAATACTATTAATCCTTAATTCTACTTGTTCTGCTTTATCATTAATTGAGAACCACCGAAAACATTATTTTTACTGAGTTCCGCGTCGACCGGCGGCTATACGGCTTGCCGACCCCGGACATCCACAATTAAATAATAATAATTAAATAATGACATGCAGTTAAAAAATATAAAAAAAGTAATAATAAAAGTACCAACTGTTAACTATCTTCATTTACATTTATTTTTTTTAATGTATATGACAAATTGTCAAATAAATTAATTGAATAATTGAAAAATTAAAATGATTTAAAACTTTAAATTCGTTTCTGAAATATCTGAAAACGCTTAGATGCTAAAAATACAGAAAAAGCGCATTTATGTTGTAGCTAAGTTATGTACGAAAAATAAAATTTTAGATAATTTAATGTAATTTTTTTCGTTTATTATTCATACACAGAAAAATGTATTAAATCGACAATTATTATTAAAAAAAAATAGTATGCACTGAAGAACATCGAAGCCGTTATTGTTTTGTAATTTGGTTAGCTATCTTAAATATTAAGCGTTTTAAAAACTAAATTCGCGTTGCTGGGTACGGCGAAGGAGGATTTCGCCGGACCTGGCACAACATACGTTCCGCCAGGTCTTTGTCTACTACAGTGTACTAGACAAAGAGAACGATGAAACCGTAAGCTGCTACGAAGTCGAAACATCGAGTATAATGCATTCCTGGGTACGGCTTGCCGAAATCTCGCCGGCAAAGCGTGTTTATCAGCATTTAAAATTAGCAACAAATGCTTTATTTTGTACCTACAATATAATAAAATATATTTTTAATATATATGATCTATCCTAACGTACATTCAAACTTTATCTCTTTTTTTATTTTCTAATTTCAACGCTTACTAAGTATTTTAAAATGACTGGTACGGCGTGGCCGACCCTGCCGCCCCTGACCAGCCGCCCCTGGTGTATTTACTGGTCAAAGTTTAAATCACGTGATTTTATCCCATAATAAAATCTCATCTGTAACTTCTGGTGCCTTCAAAAGTTTATCCCATTTAGAAAAACTCAGTTTGGAATTTAACAGGCTTACGTTAATAAATCCGCAATGGTTTCAAAATCTTATTAACCTTCACCAACTGAATTTTGGTCATAATCGAATCAGAGAAATCCCCGACAAAGCGTTCCGTAACATTCAAAACGACAATAATAAAAGGATGGATTTAAGCCACAACAGAATTAACAATATCTCATCGTATGCTTTTAGTGGGTTAAAATTTTTGGATACCCTAGACCTCTCTTACAACGAAATTGAAAATTGGGATGTGACACTACTGGCTGATGTGGAAAGGATACGTCATTTGAATCTGTTTCAAAATAAAATTAAGTGCCCAGAAGGAAACTTTCACAAAATTTTTAAAGCCAGATTTACGTATCTAGGGTTTAATTTACTTACGCCTCATTGTTTGCGAAAGATTGTTGACTGGAGATTGCTGGAATCGAGAAGACATGTGGTTTGCACAAAGCCATGCTCATTATCTTAAAAAAACATTTACGAAAGAGAAATGTTATATTTCTTGGAGACTGTGTATTAGAAAATGTCACTATAATTGTTTATATATAAAAGTTTTTTTTTACATTCATTTTATTGGGTAGTAAAATTAAGTACCTATCTTATTAATTATTGTATCGTATAATACCTATTACCTAAATATTACTAGTTTCGGTAATAGGCGTAAAAAATAATAATACTTTTGTAAAAGTTCAACATATCTAATAAAAATATAACAATGATTGTTTAACTTTTTTTTTATTATTGACCTCTTTGCTTAACAAAAAATACACACATTATTTGGACTATGAGTATATGCAAGTGTTTTGTTACAGTATAGAAATCTCTAAACATACTACTGTGGTTTTGTGCTAAAAATATTCTTGCGGCAACTACTTATATCATACTGTATTTACGGTTGCCTAAGCCTATCTTTAATCGAAAGTGATACGGTAACCTAAAATCAGGTCATGATCAATTTGTGTCCTAATTTTTGAATCGATCAAACAAATTGTTAAATTTGTTTTGAGATGTATTATAGCATCAAATCTCTATTTTGTTCTTCGTTTGTTCAAAAATTATGTATTGTTGTAAGAATGATAATTTCCACTAAAAGACAATAATCCAGTACGGAAACAATTTAGAACACAAATCATTTAAAGTCAAAGCGTTCGTTTCAATTTTACAACCAGTTGTTTTTGAAATAGCAATACAATCATGTTTCTTCGATCGCGTCCTATATTTACCCAGACCGTTGACATTTCCCCCTCTGTCCATTTGCCACGTCCAATCGTCTTGCCGCATTTTGAAACCTTCCCAACTGACAAAAGTTTTTCAATCGGTGGTGGATGCTTCGAAACCGAACAGACCAAAAGCAATACGTTACGTGAAAATGTCCAAAGACACCTATGTAATACAAATCCCGGATATCATCTATGACGAGAACACCAAGATATGCTACAAGAAAGGCCGTTTTTTCGGCAAGGTGAGTCTTTCTTGTCCCCGTAATCTTTGCCCACGAAAACCCACATTTTGTTATTAGGGAGGATTCGCTAAATGCTATGAAATTACCAACATGGCCAACAACCAATCCTTCGCCGGAAAGATCGTCCCGAAGAAGCTAATAGTGAAAGATAACCACAAGGAAAAAATGACGCAAGAAATCCATATCCATCAGTCTTTGAAGCATAAAAATGTTGTAGGGTTTTATAGTTTTTTCGAGGACACTTTTAATATTTATATTGTGTTGGAGCTGTGCAGGAAACGGGTAAGTTGAAGTTTGATTTTTAGTGACATACCTACCTATATCGAGCATGGTGAATGTAGAAGTGATGGTGTCAAGGGGGTGTGTTTGGCGGAAATGGAGGCCGCCTATTCCGTGGGGCTTGTTCAAACTTCACGTAATTGCGCTTTAATTGAAGTTTTGTCATTGCTGTGTGTTTATACATCAGACTGGTAGTTATTATTAGGTTTATTGTTTGAGTTTATCAGAAATAAATATTTGATTTGATGTCTAGGGCTAGAAATAATTTGAAGCGATCGAGTAATAACTGGTTTAGTAACTGGTTTGTTTATATTTGCTCAAATGCTCAATCAAGTTTTATATTCAACGTCAGTCATGGCTTTGTCTTTGTAGCCTACTTTGTAAATGCAGGAGGGAAAAGTAAATATGGTTGATCTTATAAGTTTTCTGTTAATGGATTACTTTCCCAAGTGATAGATTTATTAGAGTAAATTGGTAAAAATGTAAAACTTAAACAGCGCCAACTGTTAACGACGTTAAAGATTAGTCATCAGATGGGCAGTTCAGATTTCTGTAATCAATTGTCATTCAATATTTGAAAGGTCTTAAAAAAATTGTTATGAAAATCACATTTGAAACACACGCATAATATATGTTTGTTTACGAGTGGTTTAACAATACACAAATTATTTATCTTCAAGAATTATCGTGAAAATGATTAACATTCGAAAAATCAAATTTTATAATTTAGCTAAGAATTTGGAATGTACTTGAGTGGCGAGGGAAGTTCTGTCTAAATAACTATGGATCTTTTTTTGGTTAGCGGCAACTTGTCGAACTTGTGCTCTATCCCGTGTGGGTTCGAGTCCCATTCTTACCGAATATATATTTTTTTCCGGTGAGGTTTGTATTATCTATATTTGTTTTTATTTATAGGGGCTATAAAGTACACCAAATTTTATAATTTTTTGAAAATTTCGACTGTATTTAAGGGACGAGTAAATTCTGTCTAATAAAATAAGACCGATTTTTTTAGTCGATGATGGAGCTCCAAAAACGGCGAAAACTCTTAACCGAACCTGAGACCCGGTTTTACATGAAGCAAATCCTCCAAGGCGTCAGTTATTTACACCATAGACGCATCATCCACCGCGATCTCAAACTGGGCAATCTTTTCCTAGACGACGAACTTCAAGTGAAGATAGGGGATTTCGGACTAGCCGCAACGATAGAATACGAAGGCGAACGAAAAGAGACTTTGTGCGGCACGCCGAACTACATCGCACCAGAGATCCTCCACAAGAAGGGACACTCGTTTGAGGTGGATATCTGGTCGATAGGATGCATCATGTACACGTTATTGAGCGGAAGGCCGCCTTTCGAATCTAGTTCACTCAAAGAGACGTACTCTAGAATTAAAAAATGTCAATACAAGTAAGTACGGAAAGGAGAAACGTTTTTGAATTCGTATTTTGTAAAGCAATACGTGCATCTAAACTCAGTTGTGTACCGTACTTTCGTGAAGCCTTCTCACCTCGACGTTTTTTTTTTTGCGCAGGATAACAGGAAACATATCAGCCTCGGCCAAACAAATGATCATGACCATGTTGCAGCCGGACCCCAAGAGCAGGCCAAATGTGAATCAACTGATGGTACACGATTTTCTAGTTAATGGTTATTGCCCCACGTCGTTACCAGTAAGTTGCCTAACGATGGCACCTAGATTTGATAAGATGGAGGTGTACGCGAGGAAACCTCTGAGTGGCATAAATAACGGTTAGTTCTGGGCGTAGTCAGGTGAATAAATGATTACTGTGGTGTTTATCTTTTTTTTTTCCCACAGGTGATGTGGTCATGAAACCCGAAGACAGGGCACAGGATTCGATAACCGTACACCTCTCTGGCGCCATGAATCACCACGTGATCGATCCCAAGGAGAGTTTTGGAACATTGAGGAGTCTCCTCGGTCGGGTATGTAGCTTTTGTTTTTCTCCGACGAGTTGTACTATGGAATTCGTTTTTGGTAGGATTTGAGACGAAGCGAATGCGCAGAACGTCTGTGTGTTAATGCAGAATGAAACAGAAATATTTCGTTTTAGTTTTTGTGTCGCAAGTGCAATAAGGAATATTTTATTTTTCTCAACATTGTACTTATTTTTCTAAATATACATATAACTTTAGCATTTTAGTTTAGGTTCTTAAATAATCCGTTTACCTATCATTTCGACGGTTTTCATTCTTTTATCGCCCGATATTTCAGGTTCTGAAAATGAAGCCGGCCAAAAACCACGTCTTCCTTGACGAAATGACAGACCCGGCCGCTCAGCCCATGATATGGGTGTCCAAATGGGTGGATTACTCCGACAAGTACGGTTTCGGCTACCAACTGTCGGATGAAGGAGTCGGTGTCATGTTCAATGACACTACGAAATTAATAATGTTGCCAAACGGAATGTAAGTATTTTTTCCTGTTCCTCAAATAATTGCCTGCATTTTTTAATTTTGGAAAAATTGTTTTCAATTTGATAATTAATTCTTGCGTATTTTTGAGTGTTGAATCCAAATATGAATTCCATTTTTCTCCATTACCCACATAATTTGTCATAATCGCAATCGTTGCCACCTACACGTTATTTATTATTTATAAAAAAAAAAATTAAACGAAATCGTTTATGGAAAGTAAAGTGTGTTGCCTATTCGAACTTATCCAGGCGTGAACAGAAAAAATAATCACCCTGTACATACAAAACTTGACAACAATCGGTCCAGCAGTTTCGGAGATTACGTGTCTAATAAAAATGGGAACAGACACCAGACAGACGGAAACGGGAGACTACTTTTGTGTCCTATTTATACTTATAATCACAAATTGTGAAAAAACCTTACGTTATGGAGTTTTTAATTTTATTTATTTTTTTTTTTTCCTTCAACGCTAACAACTATTAAAATCGCTAGATAAAAGATCCTCATTCATCTTGGAAGTTTTCTAATTATGTGGCAATTATACAGGTTTGCGAAGGTCAAATTGTCTGGAATCTACATTACTATATTTTTCAGAAACGTACACTATATCGACAAAAACGGCAAAGAATCCTACATGACCATGGAAAGCTACCCCCGAGAATTGGACAAGAAGATGAAATTGCTGTCGTACTTCAGCCGCTACATGCGCGAGCACCTCATCATGACCGGTGCGTCTGTCGTACGCGAAGTGGACTCGATGTCAAGGACCCCCCATTTGCACCAATGGTGTCGTTCCACGTCGGGCGTGCTCATGCAGCTAAGTAACGGCACGGTGCAGATGAATTTCAGCGATCACACGAAGATAATCATGTGCCCATTGATGACCGCCATCACGTACATAGACGAAGAGAAGCAGTTCAGGACTTTCAGATTTTCTTCCCTAGAGAACAGCGGATGCAACGTGGCTCTCTACGAGAAGATGCGGTATGCGTACGATAAAATCACAGTATTACTGGATCCTGAGAACAATTACTTCCCGCATTGACGAAGAGCGAGAGGAGTGTACACTGCCATATATATATTTTTTGTTATTAAACTTCGAGGGACTTTTGTAATGTAATTTATTTTGTTATCGGATTCTTATCGAAGATTTCGGTAACAAGTCAGTGTACCTACTTTTCTTATTTTTTATTTCTTATCTTATTACAATTATTACATATTTTAATTCTTTGTATTAATTTTGTGTTTTATAAAACATTATGTTTGAAAAGATTTGATGTACGTTGTTTATACAAAAGCCAGAAATTTAATATTCACCAGATCGCGGTGTGTATTAAATGTTTGGCTTTCCTCGAATCGACGATGTCAGCTGAGATTCATGTGGATTCTTTTATAAATAAGTTAACGAATAATAAAAAAAACATGTAATAAACGTGTTTTCATGTGTATCAAATGGTTTGAAACATTGGCGGACTGTTGCAGTCAGATTACGAAATAAAACGAATTACTCTTAAAATTCTTCTTCCCCTCGCCCGTGAAATAGAAATACATTTAAAATTATATTGTAGCATATATGAAGTCAAATTCAAATTTTCGCACCAAGGGCGGGATTTTGTTTCTAACGATACGATACGAAGCGATAAATGACAAGGACGAGAATACAAATTTCAGATGCGAAAGAAAAAGACGACCACATTTTATCGTTACAGAAACAAAATCGCACCCCAGGGGGTGCGATTTTGTTTCTCGGTCGAAGCGATAAATTAAATGTCATTACGTAGGTTTTAAATGCAAAAGTTTGCATTTATTCTTTGCATGTAAGCTTATTAAATGCTCAAAAGTTTACAATTACCTTAATTTTAAGAATATATAATTCAGAATTACGATTTTGAACTTCTATTTTGACATAAATTTCGAGGTTATGTCTCCAAAATTTATCACTTTACTCAGAGCCACGGTCTCAGAGCTATCGATAAAAGATCGTTCCATGAAGACTTGATTTCGTGACAGAATCCAGAAATGTAGCATCTCAACCAATCAGCAAACGAGATTTTACCGCTAACGGGTTTTTTTCGATCGAGAAACAAAATCGCAAATTTGATAAGACTGTTTTTGGCACTTTTGACATTTTCGACCATTTTTCAACCAATTCCAGAAATTATTGAAGACATTTTCTTGTAGATTTTGATATAAAGAACTCATTTTTGACTTCTATTATTAGTTTTCCCTCCCACTCGACAGAAGAACATAATTTTAACCCCGTCCACCCACCCTGTCTCCTTTTCAGGGATTAATTTTCTGCAATCTGAATGAACTGAATGACCTTAAACTTAACAGAAATAAAATTTGTCACCAGAATTAGAAGAGGGTGGGTGGGTGGATCTAGTACTTGCTAAGATAAGATTGACTTTGGCCAATAAGATACTCCCTAAGAAAATAAAGGGTGGGTGGGCGGGGCTTACAATTTGAAAAGACAAGACTGTTTCTGGCATTTTTGACATATCCAGAAATCACTTTCGGCTTCTACTACAGGTTTTCCTTCCCACTCGACAGAAGAACATAATTAGCCCCGCCCACCCACCCTGACTCCTTTTCAGGGATTAATTTTCTGCAATCTGAATGAAATGAATGACCTTAATCAGCTAACGGGTTTTTTTCGATCGAGAAACAAAATCGCACCCCTGGTCCGAAGCTGCTATCTTCTCATTGGTTGTCGTCAAACAACTGTAGACCAACCGTGGATGAATGAATGAATATAATATAATTTATTCTTTCCTCCATGGAACCGACATGCTAACATTGCTGTCAATCCAAAACTTTTCTTTTGTCATTAATAGTCACCTGGTACTTTGTTATATACAACGTGATCAACAAATACTGTTTCAGTTGGTGTTAATGAATTTTGTGTGATGCTGATAGACCCTGTGACTCCACCTCAGTTCCTGTTGCCAACCAAAACTGCCATGGTTAACAGTGACATTTAATTTAGGTCAAAACTTTTTATGTGAATCTTGTTAGGTTTATTCTCCTATAGAACAACGGTCCAAGGTTATTTCGACATTTTGACAGAACTTCCCCCGCTCTGAAGTATTATAAAACAAATCCAGCTTTTTCGAAAAAATAAAAAAAAATGATAGGAATTTTATGTTTTTATGAGAACCCTTATAAGTTAAAACAAAGATATATATTGTCTTTGCCATTTCTGTTAAAACACCACCTATTGATTTTGCTTAAAGTGTTTTATTTTCGGATAAATTTAAAAGAATCGGGTGTTTTGTTGCTGGATGAACCTGAAAAAAACTTTTGAACTTTTATCAGTGTTTTATTTTTTATGAATTTGAAAAAGTTTTGAGTGCCGCAGTACCTATTTGGGTAACCATGGCACAGTACCATGGTGTATTATTATTTTTGGGAGCCCATGAAATTTTTTTTTTAAATTGTTTAAAAGAATTTGGAGGGACTTTGGTGTTCTATTTTTGGAAAATTCTGGGCTGACCTGTTCTTGAGTCAATTTTGGGACCCCGCCGTTTTTTTTCTTTTTTTTTTAATTTAAAACAATCTTAAAGTTCTAGGTATTCATGTTTGGAAAGAATCTGAAAGTGCTTTGGAGCCTCTGGTGTTTTTTCTTATAATAATTTAATTAAATTTCTTAGGATGCTTACATCATTTAAGTCATATCTTATTTGCCAAAGTCAGTGTTATCTTAGCAGGTACTAGCCACCTCTCTTTTCTTAGAGGGTATGTCATTTGCCAAAATCAGTTTTATCTTAGTTAGTACTTGCTGAGATAAGACTGACTGTGGCAAATTACATAAGAAAATAGGGGGGGGGGGGGGGGGAAGCGGGGCTAATACTTGTTAACGTGAGACTGATTTTGATAAATGACATATCCTCTAAGAAAATAAAGGCCGGGTGGTCGGGGCTAAAACTTGCTAAGATAGAACTGAACAATATTAAGAGTAGTCACTGGAATGATGAAAGAGTGGGTAGGCGGAGCTACTGTTTGCTCATAAAACTAGAAAAAAACCTAAATTTAGCTTACTTTTACAAAAAAAAATGAAAAAAAATTTGGAAACATCACGAGCTTACTTATATGCACAAGGCAGGAATTTTGAACATCTTCTGTAGTGTTTAGTTGGTTATGCTTTAATGGATTTTTCTTTTATTGTTTTTGTTTATAAACGTCTTATTAAATGTGTGTTTTTTTTGGTTTATTTATTAATAAAAAAATAACAGCTTGTTTTATTAATAATAATGCACAAGGATTAATGACTACGGTTATTGTCCTAAAAAAAACATATAAAAGGTGGATTTCAGTCACCGTCGTTATTAAGAAATCAGGAAGTATTATCTTTGCCATTTCTATTGAAACACCACCTGTTGATTTTGCTTAAAATTTAGCAATTGGTGACAGCTTTCGGTTGATTGACAACGGCTTTTAATTCGAAAATTTTAATTTTACTTTTATAAAATTACGTTTTCTTCGCGTAATCTACAATATAATTTTTTTTTTTTTATGATTTTTTTGGGACTCCCGAAACCCCCGTACATAACGTACTGAAGAAGTAATCCGCCATTTTCCAGACCCCCAGTATAGTTGTAAGTTATTAAAGACGAAAATAAATCATACAGATAAATAAAAAACAAACTTTATTTGCAGCTCAAAATTACAACTACAGTTATATACAAAACAATCGCATGGCGAAACAGTCTGTTCAAGTACTTAAAACTATGGTAAACTCCCAAAATATGTACAGAACTGCTCAGTGACATCCACAGCTCTTAACCGACATTTTCTTATATTTCTTCAGAACAACGTTGGTATCATCCAGGAAAAATAGTACCGATATTGGTGATAGCTTCGTTGGTGCACAGTAGGGTTTTGGGTACCTAATTGGGTTCATCAAGTGGACCAAAGTCTGAACGATAGCATGGTTAGTAGCATTCATATGAGAATTTAGCGGAAAATTGCATTCTCCGTAGCAGTAGTAGGCGGAGTAGCCATCCGGAGCAATGATCCAGTCCTGGTAACAAAGTTAAAAAATTGGTCTGAGGTTATTTAGAGAGACCTTCCCTCGCCCGTAAAGTACAATCAAGCAAATCCAATTTCTTAGATAAATTATAAAATTTAATTTTGAGAATTTTATTTTTTATGATAACCCCTATTAGTTAAAATAAAATATATACCTCACTCAACTCTCCATTCATATAGGCATAATGGGCTTCTTTGTTGTTATATTATATGTTTTACGACGAGTATAACTTTTTAGTCAAAAATTCTTATTCCTCTGATTCGATTATACTACTTAATAAAATCTCTTTTCTGATGATTTTTAGCCTTAATTACACAAAAAAGTTCTTTTTGAATATAATTAAGACCACGGATCACCAAGAAAATGGCTGTTAAAACTCAAAAGTGAGAAGATCAGCTGAAGTAAATATCTGACTTTGATCTACATGAATTTTTGTATTTTCCCTTACCTGCCACTGTAAATCTTTGAAGCTTATATACAAGGTGTGCATTTTACAAATCCTCGACGTGCCAGGTGCACTCATAATCGAAGCATAGTCCGATTTTTTCACTCGACGTTTGGAGCTGACATCACGTGCTCTTCTTTTTGGTGGCTCAACGTAATCTGTGGCCTTGAGAAAGGCCACAATGAAAGGCTGAGTTTCATCTTCTCCCTTGACGGTGGTTAAACCAATGTCTTCTGGTCTTATCTCCCGCCCTGTTTTGCAAAAATGTAGATGATCATTTGTATTTTGCATGGAGGTAGAATGAATTCTACATCCATGATATTTTGATAGAAACTGATCACTGGTGATCACGAACATTGCATGTGTGTTATTTCTTATTTCTTAAACAGCTAAATTATAAATGTTCTAGCACTGCTTTAAGTGCAAGAGTTTATAGAAGACAAACAAATGTTATTTGATATTATTTAAGGGGTACGTGTAGTATTAGATTTGCACAACTAGTTGAAAAAGCGCTTTCGAATTAAAAAAAAAAAACAAGCTTGTGCGGTTATACACACGTGGTTATACATAACCTTCCAGAATGTGTTGTATAAGGCAATCTATATATATACATATATAATTGGTTGGACAACCACCATGTAGATAAATGTAAATAGATTGTAACAGCCAAAAAAAAATATTTGTCCCTAAATTTTGTTGTGAATTTATTTCCTAGTGTACCTATATATTAACACTTTATATTTCTTCTAATGGTTTGTATTTCTGAACATCCCTGATAAGTAATTTAATGGAATTAAAGTACTGTTAGTTTAGAAAGCGGTTCGAATTATACACTAACAACATATCCTAAGGAAAATGTCTAATTACGACTTTACCTGGTTTATCGACCGGATGTACCGACAGGTAAAGGCCCTTATTGGAATCCGGGAATGCCACCCACGTAGGCAGACAAGCGGTCAGATTCAAACCCAACCACCCAGTGAAGCTACCAGTGGTATTAACTGCAGAAATATATTCCAGTTCGCTTTCCCTGAAAAAAAAAAAATCATCACCGTAATAATAAAAGAAAAACCAGCTAAGCTGACCCTGAATTAGTGTTAATCAAGTCATAAACAGTAACAGTGTAGACAATATTGGCCCTCCTCGGTGAATTTGTATCTTTTTGAAAAATCCTTAGTTCGGCGCCTAACACATCCTCCGCAACAGGCATTTCAGAAACGTTAAACCAAAGCCGTTTTCCCCTTTCATGCCGAACACTGCTTACGTGATGATCTAAAGAAAATGCAAACTTAGAGAAATAAAAAATTGGCGACAATGTCCTGCTAAAAAATCACTTACTTATGCTCTCGAACGTCATGATCACATCGCTCGCATCAATCGCGATTTGTTCTTCTCCGCTTAGATTCAAATCCGCACTTCTTTCTCTCCTAGAATGCCTGTCATCGCTGTCCTCCTCCATAAATGACTTGTAAATATCCAAAAGAAATTTCGGCGCCGATTTTTTCAACGATTTTGTCACCCTTTTCGGCCTACTCGGCAACCCCAGCAAATTCAAAATCTCCAATTCCATTTCGCGTTTTTCTGTTTTTGTCATCTCTCTATCGATAGCCGTCTGATCTAGCCCATTGTCAATATAAAAAGCAGCCTTCGGAGTACTCAACACGTCGCTACAAACTACGAGTAGAACAAAACTGAACACTATCACAGAATTCATCATGGAATGTTTTCTACAATTCAAGGAAACTCCGACGCTGGAACGCGAATTGAAAATGCACTTGTTCAGGAATCTCGAGTTGAGGAGGTGGTCTTGAGGTCGACGTTGTCGGTTATGGCAGGTTGTGTGAAGACGATGGGTTTCGCTGCTTGTTGATGGTGGGAATGTTTATTCCGTTTGGGCGGGAAATGCGCGGATATGGCATCGTCGACTGGGCTTACTTAAGACAGGTTTTGGCGCTTCGAGCGTCCAATCAAATGCCAGGCGGTGATGACTGTTAAGTGAATTAATTAATTTGTACGGTGTGGAGTGATGAAGTTTGTTGTTTATGGTAAATGCGAATCATACTTTAAGACAAACGCAGAAATGTAAGTAAACAACTCAAAATTGTTTCTAGCATATTTTATTGGTATAAATTAAAGTATATTTAAAATAACTAATATCCAAAGAACAAAAATTAAAAAAAAAATCTATCATTTTAATACATTTGTATAACTTAACTATATTCCAAAAACCAAGATAACGTAAAATGTAAATTATTGCATGTGATATAGGTAGTGCAAGTTCATAATTATCAATGCTGACATATGTTATTATTATTCATTAGTGAGTGGGTTATAAATATTACTGAACTGCGTCTTTGTAATAAACAGGTGGATTATTTGATATTGCGTAAGACAAGTGTTTGTACTCAAATAGTCTTTAAACAGTATGTAACAATTAACAATGTCTTTATGGCAGCTGTATTGTATGTATCGTTTCTAATTTCAAAGCAGCATACCAGATTGAACGAAGTTAAATTTAATGCACTGATAAACCACAAGTATAAGCTCATAATATTTTGCAAATTTTACGTAAGATTTACTCATATTTTTTTGTATTTGTCGATATCCCTCCCCTAGATAAAAATGTATCATTAGGGGGCTTCGCCATATTTCAGATAATCTGTATGTACCTACTCTGTACTGCAAAGTAAAACAAAAATGTACGGTATTACAGATTCATCACGGAGTGTTTTCTACAATTCATGGAATCTCCGACATCGAATAACTCATTTTGGGCAGGAAATAGATGGATGTGGTACCTCAGGTTTTGACGCTTCGAGCATTCAGTGAAATATCAGACGTAGTCATTGTTTATTGTATAATCACATATTATTGTATACTTCACAATGTATAGAATAAAATAAATTAATAATAATAAGTGACTCCATATATTTTTTTTGAGACATGATGAATTAACAGTTCCAAGCTGTAAGTACAGAAGATCGTTACATACAGTGTTTGGAAGCATGTAGCCTAGCAAACAACATATTATTTGAAATAAATGTTAGCCAAAAACATTTTTGATACCACGTCATCGGCTTTCTATGTACAGGGAACAAATAACTATAAATATATTTTAGTAGAGATTCCGTAATTATGAGATCAGTGTCAGTTTATTGTCCAAATTAAAAATAAAAAAAAAAAGTATGGATTTATAATTAGGAATTTTATTTTTACTTCCAAAGTATAAGCTAAGGATATGCCATACGATGGACAACCAAACCTCTGTCTGGCAGTTACAATAACGTACCGTTTTGCGCGAGCACTAAGAAGCTGAAGCCTAAACAACGACACGGGTGACGACAAAATCTCTCTTTCCTCTGAGTTTCCGAAGAAAGAAAGAAAGAAAGAAAGGGGTCCATTAAGCGAATGGCTACCTTAGTGTTTTCTCGGTGTTTCATAATTCCCGGAGTATGAAAAAAGTGGATCTACCGTGATTGCATTTTAGGATAGGCAACCACTAAAACACTTTGCATTCACAACGAAGGACGGCGAATATTTGTGTATTACTGTCAATGCAGCAGATACTTAAAATTGATTTTATCGCTCGCAAAATGCATCCTTTGATAACGGCGACTTTATTATCTGAATATTCGCACTAAACTGGATTTCCTGTTTTAACTTGGACTTTATTTAAATTTAGCGCGTCGTGCCGTCTCCCGTCATTCGCTGCTGTGTTTCTGCTTTCATCCGCCGGTGGCGCCGTAGTTTAACGTAGGTTTTCATTATGTCAATGCAAGACAGTTGTAAAATTTAGTAAATTAAACTGTAATTACGTGTAGCAAATAGCGCAAAATGAGTGATAATAATTTGTAAATAGCCCCTAGTCTTAAGAAAACGTCGAACCGGCCCGACGTCAGTGCAAAATCGTGTCATAGCCGTCTCGTAGTTGCGTAGGCTGGGCGATGACATTGGCGATCAAAGTAATAACATTTCCGTGCGAATTTCCCGTGAATGTGGAGTGTACTAACGAAGATTTTCACGAAAAACTCTAACAACGACGGTGGCGGAGACCTAACGGTCGCCGACGGCGGCACAGGACACCCCCAAGACATGGATGACACCAAACAGGTGAGCTAGCAGATCCGGCCCTGGAGCCCAGAGCCGGAATCAGCTGTTTTCGCAGATTCGTCTCGCTTTCTCGGATTTTGCCCACCATCTCCTAATTTGTCGACTGCCCACACGTGTTTGCACATGCAAATTCGGATTTGACATAACGCCTATTAATACCGAATTGCGCCAAAATAGGGCATGTGCTTGTGACGTCACGTTTTTCGGAGGCCTAATGTCAACGTCACGTGGCTGTCACTTCGGCCAATCGAACGCGCTAATTCATAATCGTCGTTCACTGACCTAGCTCTTCATTTAGATTGTTCATTACATAAGTGAAGAAATTGCGGCGAATTATGCCAGAAATAGATTATATTGTTAACCTTGAAGATGAGCAGCGTGAAATTGTGGCACAGTTTCGGCAAGAAAGCTGCACAACGAAAATTCAATGTCATTGACGTAGCGGTTATTTTTAATTTTTCAGTCAGTGGTGTGTCGGCTAATTTTGGGATAGGTTTTAATAGGTTATTGGTTTTATATCGACGTTAACGAACATGGTCTTCTCAAAGTGGAGAGCTGGGTTCTGGGTTTTACGGCTCGTAAAGATAAAGTTTTGGTTAGGAAAAAATCATCCTTTTTGACGGAGTGTAAAATTGGTGATTGCTCGTTCGGTTCTTTTAATTGATAATTAAGTTTTGTTTTACGTTTGTTAATGTTAGAAATATCTCGTTCTCGTTACACCTCTCAAGTTGCACGTTGATTAATTAGTTGAATTACTGGGAATTAAATGTGGAGTAATTGCATTTTAATGTGTGAGCTCGTGTAAGAACACTTTTTATGACTTACACACGGCATGTGCTACAAGAAACAGTGTCACGGACACTGAGGGAAAACATTTTTTTTTATTAATTGTTGGTACGAACGTCGTATAATCGGGCGTTACTTCCTTGAAATAATCGGTTCATTATGAGAATTCCGCAAATCATTTATGACAAAAAATATTTTAATAAAATAATTGCCTCCAAGCAAACCAAATAAATAATTTTTCCTAACGTTCTTCGTGAACCACTTTTTCTATCTCTATTAGCTAACATTTATCGAGTGATTAGTGGTAATTTTGACGAAAGTCTTAATTCATGTTTCTAAGCCATTCGCGGATTGTAAGGTACGAAAATATGTATAGATTTTCGTTCGAGCCATGGATTTCTGAAAATTAAACTCAAACTTTCAAAAGTGACTGTAATCTGATAAACCGAAAATTCTATCAAATACTAAGACATGTATTTTATTGCCTTTTCGGACAACTCTTAATAGTCTATTATAGTATGCGGCTGTAATGGTAACGAAAGTTCAAACATCGTCTTTATACTGGCAGATCACAAATTAATCACATTATTTGAAATTTGACGGGCCACTGGATGTAAGAAACATTTATGAAAACCCTGCATTAAAATTCCTAAAGAAATAATTTTACCAAGACATTTAATTTTTGGTGATTATGAAAAATTTGTAGATTTGCCTATAAAAAAAATCAATATGCTGAATAGAAAATCTTCAGACGCAAAGGGAGAATTTCTTAATAGTCTTAATAACTTAACAGGCTTGTTAATAGGAGAGATAGACCATTCAAGAAGACACTTCCTCGAGCGTCAATCAGTCGATCGGCCAGAAATCGACATAAAAATTTTCAATATACTCGACACGGCCAAAGAGTGCACATTGATTTTCTGTCGTATGGGAAGACACCAATAAACCGTCAATAAGTAATTATATTTTGCAGCTCTGACCTTTTCTCCGATTGCTTGGCTGAAAAGAATAAAGGTTCTATGAATCAGACGTTCCTGAACACAATATTACAATACTTCCTTAGCCTACGCTTGGGAAAGTAAAAGTCAGAAAATGTCTAATAATTATAATATGTCAAATAATCTTTTTAAATAGGGGCAGTTCATGCATTAAGTCACATGCCTGTAATGCTTTATTACAAACTTTCCAACGTTCTGAATTGATTCGACAACATGATGTTTATTTTTGACAAAATTTATTTTCATGGGTTTATTAAAAGTAAATAATCATTACTCGTCTATTGTGCGATTACAGAATGTTGTTACATATCTATAAGAATTTTACAGGAAAATAATGTAGAAAGTAGTACTACTTAGATTCATTAAATGTTCGGTTCGTTTTTGATCGATTCAATAACTTGTGAGGATTTATAAATACAAGACGCCGCCCCAATAACAAATTACAAACAGTATTATCTACTAGATTTTTACATTTTTACTTTTATGATTTTAGATAATAATAATTTGTGTTTGGATTGGTACTTTGCTTTTAATTTGTTTTTGGTTAAATCTTTTATCTTTCAATATGGATATAGGAATTCGTTGACCTGTGATATCACAAGTCTTAAATTTGCTGTCAGTGTACCATTTCCATATGTACAAATGTGGGAGGAAATCCTAGTGCACGAAAACCTTGGTAATAAATAATGACCATAGTTAACAAGACTTTTAGTAAATTACCTTGACACGATTTTAATAGCGGCCGTTACGTACAATTTTCTGTGATGAAAAATTTATTGTGATGCCGTTTATGAGAGATATAAACCCTCTATAACGTTGGGTATTTTATGTACGACATCCGTGATGCGAAAAGCGGCTTACTGCAAATTTATCAGAGGAAAAAAAATCGCGTGCTTCTGGCAGCTGTTCTTTTATTTAAGGGGGTACTGACTCACTTCGTAAAAGCATACTTACATGGGTCTAGAATTTTGCAAACAGCGAGTCGAATTTTCATTGGAATTTAACAAAATTTGGATTGTACCTGTAGAAAGGATTTATCTACACGGCTAGCTTCATGAATGCTTATAATTCTAAAAATCAGTTGAAATAAGTCGGTATAAAATAAGCGTTTTTATTGTAATGTTTCAACGTAAATATAGATAAACAGCATTCAGCGATTAAATATAAGTATAGCTGGCCGTGTAGTGTCATTCATGAATTGCAGTTCTGGTTAATAAAAATTTGTAAAAAGTTAACAATGCGCTTGTATTTTGCAAAATTCTAGACATCTGCACAATACGATTTGGTATCAGCAGCTCGAGTTGCTGCCAACGGGTTGGCGTGTAGAGGGAGTTATTTGAAACAGAACCACTGCATCTCCCCAATAGTGTCGGCAGCTCTTAGCTGCCTTTTGTTGTGTGTATAACTTGACTGGTCAAATGTTTCCCTAAACTGAAAAAACCCAAGAAAAACATCTGGAAATTATTATGGTCGATGCAGATTGCAGACCAGAAAACGTGCAACTGCAGTGTAGTAGGTACAGACAGCATGGCGAGAGGTGACCGAAATTTGAAAAAAAATCCGCGGCTAAGCGTACGGCGTAAAAGCCGAAAACGCATATCTAAAAAAAAGTGTTCTGAAAGTGAATTCATTCAAACAGAAGTAAGAGAATTTATTGAGCCACGTTGCAGGTAAAATTATGGAATAAAATTAACAATGCACATTTGTTAAGATTGTTAATTCACAGCAATCAACTAGAGGTGGATAGCATTTGTAATCCGTCAAATGATTACGAAATAAATGATAAACGCATTCAAACAGAAATAAGAGAATTTGTTGAGCCAAGTTGCAGGTAAAGTTACGGAATAAAAATTAACAATGCACATTTGTTACAATTTGGTTATTCGCAGCAATCAACTAGAGGTGGATAGCATTTGCAATCCGTCAAGTGATTACAAAATTAGTGATAAACGAACTGAAACAGGAGAATTTGATGAACCAAGTTCCAGGTAAAGTTACGAAATTAAATTATCTGCATATTTGTAAAAATTTTGTTATTCGTAGCAGTCAACTTGAAATTGAAAATATTTCTAATCCTTCAAGTGATTACGAAATTAGTGGTAGAAGAATTGTGGATATTAAACTTATTTTCGAGTCTATTACAAGCTTCAAACATCTCGAATTATTTAAATGCGGTGCGTGCCATTTACGCATTGTCAAAGAGTTGCGAATAGGACTAATCAGCAAATTTACTCTGCAATGTTCTATGTGTAAAGAAGTTGCCATCGTTTCCACGGATAAAATTGAACCAAATCATATGGATATAAACAAGGCAACAGTACTGGGAACAATTTCAACCGGAGGAGGCCATTCGCAGTTAGAAGAACTTCTTGCTTTTTGCGATATTCCCTGTATGTCTTTTCGGACATTTTCTCACTGTCAAAGTGATGTGGCTTCTCATATTTATGAAACAGCACATGATTTAATGTTATTGGCCGGGAAAGAAGAAGCGCAACTAGCAACAGACGCTGGTGACATTGATAACGATGGCATCCCAAAAATTACTGTCATTGCCGATGGAGCGTGGTGTAAACGTTCCTACAAGACAAATTATAACGCATCTTCAGGAGTCGTGAGTACCTATAATTCATCGCAAAAGACAAGAAGCATTTCATTTCAATTTTTTATTAGGGAGTTATCATTGGTCAACGTACCAAAAAAATTCTTTATTTGGGCATCAAAAATAAATACTGCTTCATATGTGCTCGGGCAAAGACGTTGTCACAGGAACCAAAGACACACAATTGTTTTAAGAATTGGACTGGGACGTCTACATCTATGGAGTCAGAAATAATAGTAGAAGGATTTCGGCAAAGCGTTGCAATGCATGGCGTCAAATACGCATATTTAGTTGGTGACGGTGATAGTAGTGTTACTAGAAAGTTAGCTGATGCTCGTCCATACAAAAATCTAGTGGTTCATAAAATTGAGTGTAGAAATCATCTATTGCGTAATTTCTGCAATCACCTCAAAGAGTTGACTACTAGACGAGTTAGTTCTACGAGGCAGATAGTGACTCCAGATCAGCGTCTTTTATTAAAAAATAACATCCGAAGATTTCGATCAGCCATTCAAAGCGCTGTGAAATATCGCTGTTCTGAAAGTGGTAGTCATGAAGAAAAGGTAGCCAGTCTGCGCACCGATATTCTTAATTCAATATACCACATATTTGGCGAT